GCCTCATGCAGGCGCTTTACACTTGAGCCACTCCACCAGCAGGAATATTCTTTTTAATTTTTATTTGTGCTTACTTATTTTTTATTCAATCTTTCCACATCATAGATATGGTAAATTTTTTGTTGTTTGCCTTTTAGCTTTGTTTAACATGATGATGATGTTCTGTTATTCTGACTGAACATTTTAATCACTATGTCTACTTTTTTTCTCTCTAAGATCTCTGCCTCTGGGTTCATGTTTGCAGTGCACAGAGGGAGCTTCTGTAAATGCATGTTGTTATAAAGTGTCAATGTGTGAGTGTGTCTTAGAAATCTGCAGATCTAGCCGTCAGCACCATACTTCTATATCCAGTTGCCAATTCATTCTTTTTATCCATGTTTTAAATTTTTTAAATTTATGATCATATAATAGTTGTACAAGGGGAATTCATTGTGACATTTAAATATGTGCTTATGATATATCTTAATTAGATTCACCCCCTCCATCCTTCTTCCTCATCCCCCCTTTCTTAGAACAATTTAATTGTTCTGTTTTCATACACATAGCAAAGTACATCCACCATATTCATCCTCCCTACTCTCACTGGTACCCCCCACTGACAGAACCTGTTTTACTTTCCTGTCCTTCATCTTTTAAGTGTATATTGATTATTCAATGGGGTTTTGCCTTGGTATCTCACACATGTATACATGTATATATTGTACTATCATCAGATGAACCCCTTTATTACTCACTCTCTATTATCCTGCTCCCCTATTATTCAACAGTTAATGGTACATTTAGTTATACTGTCTTCATATACAGATGCATTGTGTTTCAAAATTATTCATTTTCTCTATATACATATATGATTATATATGTATTTATATATACAGTTATAGGACTAGCTTCCACGTGAGGTTAAAAATGCTACCTTTGTCCCGAGCCTGGCTTACTTTGCTTAACATGATGATGATGTCCAGTTCCATCCATTTACCCGAAAACAATATAATTTCTCTCTTTTTTTTGTGTGTGTTTGGTACTAAGGTTTGAACTCAGGGCCTCACACTAGGCAAGCCTTCTACCAATTGAGCCACTGCTCCAGCCCTTTTTTTTGTGTGTTGGATATTTTCGAGGTAAGGTCTTGGGAAATATTTGCCTGGGCTGGCTTCGAACTGTGATCCTTTTGCTGTCTGCTTCCTGAGTAGCTAGTATTACAGACGTGATCCACCAGTGCCTGGCAATTTCATTGTGCTTTATGGCTGAAAAATACTCTGTTGTGTATATATACCACATTTTCTTAATCCATTCATCAGTTGTAGGGCATCTGGACTGCTTCCAAAGCTTGGCTATTGTGAATAGTGCTACAATAAACATGGATATGAAAAAAATAAACATGGGTGTGAAAAAATAAACATGAGTGTGCAAGTTGTTCTATCATATCCTTCGGGTATATACCCAGAAGTGGTATCACTGGATTGTATGATAGGTCTATTTTCAATTTGTTTTGAAAATACAAAGTGCCTCCATAGTACTTTCCATAGCAATTGCACTAATTTGCATTCCTACCAACAGTGGATAAGGGTTCCTTAATTTCCATTCTTTCCCTCCTAAGATCTGCTCCTTCCTCAATACTTTGATTCTGGAAAAGACCCAGCTCACTTGGTTGCTTGGGACAAAAACTTGAATTATCCGATTTTGCCCTCTTTTCCTCATATATTATAACTACCCTTAGCAGCAATCGCAACAATGCTACTTCAAAACTATGTCCAGAATCTGACCTCTTCTCACAAGTCCTGCTACTCTGGGAAGGGCACTAGTTGCTAGCTCGGACTTCTGAAGTGACCTTTTGGACTGGTTTCTTAGTGTTTCTTCTTGCCTCTCTGCAGTCTGTTCTGCATACAGCAGCCAAAGTGAGCTTTTAAAAACAAATCAAGGAGCTGGATGTTGGTGGGTCAAGCACCTATAATCTTAGGATCTTGGGAGGTTGAGATTGGGAGGATTGTGGTTCAAGGCCAGTCTGGGCAAATAGTTCATGAGACCCCATCTCCAAAATAAACAAGAGCAAAATGGATTGGAGGTTTGGCTCATACCATAGAGTGCCTGCTTTGCAAGTGCAAAACCCTGAGTTCAAACCTTAGTCACATCAAAAAAAAAAAAAAAATTAAGGGCTAGGGGTGTTGGATCAAATGGTGAAGTACTTGCTTGACAAGCACAAGACCCTGAGTTCAAACCCCAGTATTGCCAAAAATAAACTTTAAAAAATCATAGCATGTTACTCCCCTACTCTGGACCCTTCAGGATCTTCCTGTTACACTCAGGATGGAACCAAACTCCTTAGAATAAGCCATGAAGCCTTCCAGCAATGTCCCCTTCCCTTCTCTCTAACCTCAATTCCCCTGCTTGCTGATCCTAGTTTTCTTGCTGTTTCATACATACTCGATCCTTTTATCTTTTTTTTTTAGCAGTTTGAACTCAGGGCCTTGCGCCTACTAGATACAGCACTCTGTCATTTGAGTTACTCCCCCCAACCCTTTTTTGCTTAGATTCTTTTTCAGGTGGGGTCTTGCCTTTTTGTCCAGGTGGCCTGGGCAGAGATCCTCCTACCTATATCTTCCCTGTAGTTGGGATCACAGGCACATACCACCATTCCCAGCTTATTATGACAGGTTTTGTTAACCAACCCCACTCTGCTGGCCTTGAATCATGATCCTCCTCATCTCTACCTCCTAAGTAGCTGAGATTAAAGGCATAAACCACTGTGCCTGGCCTTACACACTCAATCTTGTTGATACCTCAGAGCCTGTGTCCTTGCTGCTCCCTTTGCTAAGAAGGCCTTTCTTCTAGAGCTTTACATGACTAACTTCGAGTTTCAGCTCAAATGTCAGAGCTCTTTTCTGACCACAGGCTCTCAAAAAATGTCTCCCTTCCCTGTTGTCATTCTCTTCCTCTGCCTTATTTTTCTTAAGAGTATTTCTTCTTGTTGACACTATTAACATATGTTTTTATTTGTGGTTATATATTCCTCCTCCCCTAGAACATAAATTCCATGAAGTTAAGGACTTTGGTACTTGGAGGTGGATGTTTAATAAATTTATGACTTTTTTTGGCAGTAGTGGGGTTTGAAGTCAGGGTCTGTTGCTTGCTCAGCAAGTGCTGTACCACTTGAGCCATGCCCCAGCCCATGGGTGCATGTTGAATGAGTATGTGTACTACATAAATGTGCGTGGTGTAATGTCTGTGTGTAGATGTATCTGCTGCATGAATAGACATCTATGAGAATGTCTGTGAATAGAGCTGTGGGAATAATGGCACTGAATTTGTATAAGACAGCTTCTATGGGTGCCTTGCCAACATGTCTGCATATGTGTGTTTGTGCAGAAAATGTGTGTGTGCTTGTCTGGGACTGTGTATCTTTGTGAATGGTCATGTTTATCTGTGTCTGTTTTAGTGAGAGTGGGGAGCTGAGACACCTGGACATATTCCTCATCTAACAAATAGACCTGTCATTGCCCCAACCTTCCCTTTCCACACTCAGGAAATACCTTTGTATCTTTGGGTGACTGCAGACATGGCATCACATTCCCAAAGGGGTGTTTCAGGAGGATAGGATGTTGGGGGTGAGGGAGGTGTACAAGGGTCCAGAGGGGACCTGGGGCTGGTGGGGACTGGGCAGTCACTTGCTGATATAAGACATCTCAATAGAAGGGATGTATTCTTTGATGAATGGTGATTTTCTTGGAGCGATTGGCCATAAAAGAATGAGACTGCAGCAATGCATGAAGGAACAGGACTTGGATTGACTGGTGGCCTCAACATGTCACTATTCTTTCTCTAAACCTCAGTAGACTCATCTGCAAACGGGGTTTGTTGTTCTTGGTCTGCTTTCTTTTTGGAGATTTGCTGAGAATAAAACAGGTAATGAAGGGCTGGAGGTGTGGCTCAAGTGGCAGAGTACCAGCTTAGCAAGTTCTATGCCCTGAGTTCAAACCCCAGTACATAAAAAAAAAGAGAGAAAAAGAAAAAAGTAAGAAAATAATGCCAGTGAATGTGTAACAAACAGTATTCTTATGACTGTGCAGCATGTTAGGGTTTTAATCTACTGTAATCAGAGTGAATGCCTCAGTGGGGAATCTAGCTTTCACTTGGCTCCAGGGGCCTTAATGGGTGTTGGTTGAATAAATATGTGTGCGAGTAAATCAATGAATACACACATGAGTAAGTGCTTAGGGAATGGAATGAAGAGACAGTAGCATAAGACAGAAATGGATTGGGCAATCACAAAGTCTAACTTTTCTTGTTTATTTGCGTTTTTGAGACAGGGTCTTGCTTTATAGCCAAGGGTGGCCTCAAATTTACAACCCTCCTGCCTCAGCCTCCTGAATGCTGGGATTACAGGTATTCACCACCACCATGTTGGGCCTAAGACTAACATTTTTGAGCACATAGTACACCAGGCTCTATTAAAAAGGCTCTCTTAATCCTTACAGCAAACCCAGGAGATCAGCACTGTTGTTAATACCATTTTGCAAATGGAGAAACTGAGGGTAAGAATTTAATTGACTTGCTTAAAGCCACAAAGCTCTGAGGTGGCAGAGTTAAGAGTCCAGCCCAGGTAATCTGACTTTAAAGCCCGGGGCATTAAACACTACTCTGGTCATAAAAGAATGAGGCTGCTGTAGCATGAGGAGGGATAGGTCTTGGAAAGTCTGGTGGCCTCAACATGTCACTGTTCTTTCTCTAAGCCTCAGTAGACTCATCTGCAAATGGGGTTTGTTATTCTTGGCCTGCTTGTTTTTTGGAGATTTGCTGAGAATAAAGAATCACTGGATGAGGGGATGAATGAAAGAATACGTTCAGGAGCCCTGTGTGGGCAAGACAGGCCATTTTCTGATGAGGAGGCTGAAGCTCTTGGGGGGAAAGAAGGACATCTAGATTCTAGACTGAGGTGAGATCTCTCCCAGGATAAATTCCAATAGCCCTGCCTCACGTTCCCTTTCCTTTCTCCCTGTCTGCAGGCGGATGCCGCCATGCAGCACTACGGGGTGAATGGCTACTCCCTGCATGCCATGAACTCGCTCAGCGCCATGTATAACCTGCACCAGCAGGCGGCCCAGCAGGCCCAGCACGCTCCGGACTACCGGCCATCAGTGCACGCACTTACACTGGCTGAGCGCCTGGCTGGTAAGGGCCCTGGGAACCAAACCATGGGAACAGGACCCTGATGGCTGGGGGAGGAAGCTCCAGAAAGCAAAGAGAGGAGTGAGCACCAGTCAGCTTACTCAGGGTGTTCAAGAAAGCCCTGGATCACTTAGCAACACAAGAGAGGTAGCAATTCAAAATCTGTGCCTTGTGCTCACTTCAGTAGTGCTTATACAAAATCTAAATACTTGGGAGCACCCCTTGTATGCCAGAACAATGCTGGGTCCTGGAACTGCCCTATGTCTTCAACTTCCCATAACAAGACTGCAAGGGAGGAATCCATTAAGCCTGGTCTCACAGATGAAGAGACCAAGCAGGAGGGTATTGTGTTAGCTCAGAGGACTATAGCTGGGAAGTAGCTGGAAGAGAGCTGGAGTGCTCTGGGGAGGAGACTGCAGGCATAGGTGGACCAGGCACCATGTAAGGCTCTCTCTGTCTCTCTCTCTCTCTCTGTTTCTGCATCAAACCATTCAATTCCCATGAAGAGGGTACATGCCAATTTTATAGACAAGGAAACCGAGGCTCAAAGAAGTTAAATATGGGAGAGAGTGGGTTGGAACATGACATTATGGCTAAAACTGTGGAGGAACAGGCTTCTGTTCATCAGAGTCTGCCCACTCACTTCTCTTCTTTGAGCTTCAGGTTCCCCTGGGAAAGTGGTAGTGCCCAGCCCAAAGGATGGTTGAGAGATTATTTGAGATAACACATGCCAAGTGGTGAGCAGAGCCTGGCAGAGCTCAGAAGTTGGTAGTACTTAACACCCATAGTACCAAACATTCAGGAGGGAGCTTCAGCCTGGCATCCCCAACTCCTGGTTCAACTGATTTTGCCTTGACTACTTCTTCGGTGGGTTTGTGGGTCAGTTTAGTCTTTCATCACTGTGGCAAAATACCTGAGAGAAACAATTTAAAAGGAGGAAAGATTTGTTTTTCCTCACAGTTTCAGATGTTTCAGTCTGTGGTTGTCCAGCTCCATTGCTGTGGGCTTGTATTGAGGCAGAACATCATGGTGGAGAGGGTATGGTGGAGCAAAACTACTTACTTGTGACAGGAAGAGAGGGGGGAGGGTCTAGGCATAAAATATATCCTTCAAAGATATGCTCCCAGTGACCTACTTCTTCCACTAGACCCCATCTTCTAATAGTCCATTCAGCTATGAACTCATCAATATATTAAGCCATTGATGAGGCTAGCACTCTCATGATCCAGTATCTCTCAATAGCACCAATGGCTGGGGACCAACCTTTTAACACGTGAGCCTTTGGGGCCGTCTTTTATCTAAACAATAACAGTAGCTATGAGAAGGATTCAATGACATAGGTGGCAAGCTTAATTTCTAGGGAGGTGATGGCACTCATCCCACTCTATCCCCGGCCTGTGCCAGGTGGTCTTCATTGAACTCCTAGGGAGATCAGGTACCCACAAGACCCATTAGAGGACACAGCAAAAGGAGTGTGGCCTGGACCAATAGTAGGGCACCTGAGATCTGCAGTCAGGGAGGGCTTTCTGCAGGCCATGGAGCAGGAACCAGATCTTTAAAAGGCACAGCAAGGAGGAAGGACTAGCAGAAGCCAGGGCACAGAAATGGAATGGAGTCTGAGGACTTTGCTTGCATAGGGGTGGCAGCCTGGCAGGGAGGATGTGGTGGTCAGTCCCACTCCTATAGACTACGCCAGGACTCAGTGAATAAAATGGAGCCCCGGTCACATTTTCTAGATCAGCATGGGGACTAGTGTCTGGTGTGGGGATGGTGGGTACAGTCCTGCTCCAGCTATGGTTACTTCCCTGGTTTGGAGTGAATGCCCTATGTCCTACTTGTGGTGACATTAACCCATGACCATGTTCCAGGACTGAAGGACCAGAAAACAGAAAAGGAGTCAGGGACAGAGGATCAAGTCAACTGGTAGGGGCAGAGAAACTGGGGTGTTCAGCGTGGCCTTCCATAATTCTCTTGCAAACTTTTTTGCCTGAGCTGGCCTGGAATTGATACCCGCCCCCATCTCAGCCACCCATGTAGTTTAGGATGACAGGCATGTACCATGGCACCAGCTATTAGTTGAGATAGGGTTTCATGAACTTTTTGCCTGGGCTAGCCTCAACTTGTGATCCTCCCAATCTCAGCCTCCCATGTAGCCTGGATGACAGGCTATGCCACCATACCCAGCTTCTGACTTTTAAGGAGGGAATTAGTAGAGAGGAGTGTCTGCTTAACAAGTGTGAGACCCTGATTTCAACTCCCAGTACTGTCAAAAAAGAGGGAGATGAGCCCCATCCTACTTTCCACGAGAAGCTCTGTCTATGGCACAGGGAGTTTGGCTTCTTCTGTGACCATCCCACCTTTTGTAATCCCTAGAGCCAGCAGCAGGATGCTGCAATGTGGTTCCCAGACTAGACTAGGGATAACATGACTAAATGGTCCCCACTGCCTCCCTTGCCCTAAAGGTAACACTCATGATCTCAGGGCTTTGTCTGGGCTAGGATTAGGGCCAGTTTGTAAGGGGTTCAGGACTCCTTTAAACTGAAGAAGGAGCATCCCAAAGTCCGGGGCTTCCAGTATATCCAGTTGTCTCCTGCTTTAGGGTGTTGTGGATGCTTCCCCAACCCCTGGAGTGCAAGGAGAGGACTCCAGCTCTGTGCAGAAGCTGAGACAACCTAGGTTCCATTCACATAGACAGGGCATAGACAGTGTGTTCCCTTCAGCACAGACAGTGAGGTAGGAGGCAGAGGAGGGAGGTTACAGTCCAGCCTCCAGGCACCAGTCAGGCAAAAGGATTAGAGGCTGGACACCAATCCTAGGTAGATACTATTCTGGCTGGTTTCCCTGTTACCAGACATGTAGGCAAATCTGAAATTAATGGTCCCCCAGTCTTATTCCCCTCCAAGCTTGCAGCATTGAGAACTTGTCTCCTTGTCCTTCTGTCCTTGGGGAGGCAGCCAAAAAGGTCAAGATTGGGTACAACAAACTTTTTCCTGAGCTCTGAAGGCCCTGCCAGCAACTCAGGCTTTCTTCTTAGGAAACACAGCAATGGGAACAATGGCGTCAGAGGCCAACAGGGGAAGTGAAATTTGATGCAGAGGACAGGGAATAAAGGTCTGTCAGACCTCTCCTAACTAGGCCTTGAGATGAGCCTGGCTTTACTTGGTCAGGGGCCAACATTCTGATGCTAGAGAAGCTTTAATAGCCAGAATCTAAGAGCCATAGGGTTGAGAACTATTGTGACTGATTTTTCAGACTATCAGCATTGTGTCATCTCAGAATATTATACTCATAGAATTTGGTCTTTTTCTTTTAAGAGAGGATCTCATTATGTAGCCTAGGCTAGATAACTCAGACTAACCTCAAACTCATAATCCTCCTGAGTGCTGTGATTATAGATGTGATCCACAATGCCCATCCCAGTATTTTTTCTTTTTTTAGTGGGACTGTAGATTGAACTCAGACCCTTGGATTGAACTCAGACCCTTACACTTGCTAGTCAAGGACTCCACCACTTTAGTTTATTTTTCAGATAGAGTCTTCAGCTTTTGCCCGGACCTTGATCCTCATACCTCTATCTCCTGAGTAGCTAGGATTACAGACATGCACCCCCATGCTCGGCTTAGTCCAGTATCTGGAGACTTAAGGATCTTAGGGCAACAGCCACCTCCCCATGTCCAAGGCCCCTCAATCACATGCCTGACAGCTATTCCTGGAGATGAATTAGACCTCTGTGGTCCTCATAGTGGACAACAGGGTGGAGAGATTTTGAAAACCCAGTTGTGGACATAGGTGATTACCAAGGGTAAAAGGGCCAGGGGTCACCTCTGGCAGTTGCCTTGGTGTCTGGAGTGGGTCAGAGCAGGATAAGGTTCAAAATGTATTTCCCATAATTAAATGGGCCCCCTCTCCTTGCCCTCCAACGGCTGTACATTTCAAGACATCATCTTGGAGGCCCGCTATGGCTCCCAGCACCGCAAACAACGTCGTAGCCGTACTGCGTTCACAGCTCAGCAGCTTGAGGCCCTGGAAAAGACCTTCCAGAAGACTCATTACCCAGATGTGGTGATGCGTGAGAGACTGGCCATGTGTACCAACTTGCCTGAGGCCCGGGTACAGGTAGGGTCAGCTCTTCTAATATACCTTGCAGACAAGCACCAGCCCATCCTCTGGCTCCCTGTTACCTAGGAGGCAGTATTTACTCCTAGGTAACATGGTGCACTCTTAACCTCCGTTGATGCCTTCAGCAATCGGAGGGGTAATTTGGAAAAGATGTGGAAAGGTTTCCTAGAGGGTTGGAGGGCAGTGTATCACCTACATCTTCCCCCAGAATACCCACCTCCACTACAACCTCACTTCTTTCCTCCCCACCTTCAAATACTCCTCTCCTTGGCTGCAGGTGTGGTTCAAGAACCGCAGGGCCAAGTTCCGGAAGAAGCAGCGCAGCTTGCAGAAGGAACAGCTCCAGAAGCAGAAGGAGGCTGAAGGCTCCCATGGGGAAGGCAAGACTGAGGCCCCAACCCCAGACCCCCAGCTGGAGATGGAGCAGCCCCCCAGTCTGCCCAGTGGTGACCCCCCTGCCGAGCTTCACCTAAGCCTGTCAGAACAGTCGGCCAGTGAGTCAGCCCCTGAGGATCAGCCAGACCGTGAGGAGGACCCCAGAGCTGGAGCTGAGGACCCCAAAGTTGAGAAGAGCCCTGGGGCTGAAAGCAAGTCTCTGGGCTGCAAGAGGGGCAGCCCCAAGGCAGGTAAGGCTTGGGAGGCACTGCAGCAGGCTGGGGTCCCAGTTCAGGGAGCACAAGTGGTTCTAGCTTGACAGGGAATGGGGTATTTGATGTGGGTCGGAGCACAGGCTAGTCAACAATTGGCACTGAGAGGCATGACTGATTAGAAAGAACTGGCTATAGTGGGCCTGTGCCAGATGTTCACTCTTTAGTTGCTGAGTCATGGGAAGATCTAGAGGGGTCTGGGAAAGGGAATAGGAGACAGGAAGGGATACTTGGGAGGGTTCCTTCCTCAGAGCCTCAGCCCAGATGAAACCCACACATTCTCTGCTTGGTCTGCTTGGACACTATAGAGCAACCAAATGGGAAGAAGTGAGAGAAGTGAGAGGCTGCTTAGATCCCATCACTTCAGAATATTGAAGAATTCCAATATTTTAACAACTAGTATAGATGTATGAGTGTATGCTGGGTGAATGCCATCTTGGTACCTAAGATTCCCATATGTGGCAGACTTCTCCCTGAATTCCTGCTTTTTTTAGGCCTTGGCCCAATTTCTTTCAGCTTAGGGATCTGGTTTGTTAGAAGTCCTTGTGGAAGGGGACCTGCTGAAAGGGTCTAGAGGATGCATCATTTCATGGCTGAGTACCCTCTCCCCATCTCTTTCCCACAGGGCTGCGCTGGGCTGGAGTCTCCCATCCCTAGCTGTGTTCATGAAGGAACAGAGCTTGGCATGAGGCATATTTCAGATACAAACCCCAAGCACAGGCAGGGAAAGGATAGGGACTGTGAGCTGAGAGCTGGAGGGAGAGGATGAGAGCCCTTGAAAAGATAAAGGGGCTTCCCCAAGGACTCAGGATCCCTCCCAGGATTCTGAACAACACTTTGGGTGTGCCTGGCTGACGGGGATGGAGATGGTTTCAGCCAAAACCTGTCTTGTCTACAGGGCCACGGGAATGGGAAGCTGAGGGAGCCCCTTCTCACCGGCCATTCCCCTGTCCTGAGTACCTGGTTCTTGTTCTCTCCTTACAGATTCCCCAGGCAGCCTGGCCCTAGCTTCTGCAGGCCCTGGGGGCAGCCTCCTGGGCCCCTCCCACTCCTACTCCTCATCCCCACTGAGCCTCTTCCGTCTGCAGGAGCAGTTTCGCCAGCACATGGCAGCAACCAACAACCTGGTGCACTACTCATCTTTTGAAGTGGGGGGTCCAGCTCCTGCTGCTGCTGCTGCCGCTGCAGCTGCTGCTGTGCCCTACTTGGGTGTCAACATGGCCCCGCTGGGCTCACTGCACTGCCAATCCTACTACCAGTCCCTGTCAGCAGCTGCTGCTGCCCACCAGGGTGTGTGGGGGTCCCCACTGCTGCCTGCACCCCCTGCAAGCCTGGCACCTGCCTCAGCTGCCCTGAACAGTAAAACCACAAGCATCGAGAACCTGCGGCTCCGGGCCAAGCAGCATGCAGCTTCCCTGGGACTGGACACACTGCCCAACTGACTGACAGGCCTCCAACCCAGCCAGGGGTCTTAGGTGCCCCTTTCCCAGCCCCATGATTGTCCCCTGCCCAAGGCTCTCAAGAGTTAAATTTGGGAGCCCAGAGATCCTGGGCCCTGGAGTCTTTGCTCTGTCCCCCTTCCTCAGAACCCTGGCCCCAGGTGAACCCTACGTACTCTGTGCATGGCCCTGTTTGGATCCTGTAGAGGCCAAATGAGGAGGAGATGAGCAGCTGGTTAGATCTCCTCCTCGGCATTGCCTCCTCCCTCTCTTTCTGCCCTCTAGTAAGTTGAGTTGTGGATTGTGAGATATAAATATAAATATATAAAGCTATATTTTCAGGCACTGCCTGCCCCAGGTCCCTTGCCCTGTTCCCGTCTCTTCTCCACTGTCACCCTTGCTTCTACCTGCAGCTTTCACAGCTCACTACAGTCCTGTCCCTCCCCACTGCTTTCCTTCTTCCCTTGATCTCCCATGCCCTCACACCCTGCCTCTGTCCTGCTCCCTGTCCTTCTCCATCTTTACCACCCTGATCTTTCTCCTGTGTCTCTTTCTTTTGTCCCTGGTTTCTTCCTTTGTGCTGGCTGTGATGGTATTGTTGATTCCCAAGCTGTGTTTTGTTTGGGGCTGTGGTTTTAGTAATTTTGCCTCTTCCTGCTTCTCTCCTCTTCTCCCCTCCTGCTTCTCCACCTGCCTGTCTCTTCTCCCCACCTGCACCCTCTCTAGGCAGCTATTCCTTTCCATGCCACCAAAAGCAACACGGCTCTAGATGGAGACCCTGGAGTGGCAGACAGGAAGTAACTCTGGCCCCCACACTCACCTGACATCTGGAGGAGGTCACAAGTCACTTTCTTTCCTCTTTTCTCAGCTTTGAGGTCCTGGCTCCCCCAAATTGAGGAGAGGGGAGTGGACATAGTAGTCAGGCTGGGTGGGCAGAAGAATGGCCATTATCTCAGCCTGTATATCTTCTTCCAACACCTGGGACCCCATGCTAGCATTCACCCAGGACTGACTGGAGTCACACATGATCTCCGCTTCTCCTGGCCTCCTAGAGTCAGTTATGGAAGTAGGGACTTCTGACCAGATAAGTCACTGGCATAGAAACGTGTGTTCCTATTATGGCCAGGTAACTCTGCTCAGCAGATTCCCTTTCATGGAGGTGTGATCTTGGGGAAGTCTAGAACCTCTCTGGACCATTTCCATGTTTAGATTAGTTGGCCTATAACATCCTGTCCAGCTCCAACATTCTGTGCTCTCAACCTTGCCGGACAGAAGCTTTTAGTTAAACTTAACAATAACAACAAAAAAGCTTTCAGAACACATTACTGTTGCCTTGTTGCAGAGCAATGAGTCTTGTATGTACAAGCCTCTTTGTGGACACTGCCTCCATTTCCCAGTAAGTGTAGTAGTTCCCTTCTAGGTCAGATAATCTGAATTTGATCCTGCTTTTCTTGAGTTCCAGTGCCAGCCTTGGGGGTCACCCCATTTCCATGCCTATGGTTGGAGGGAGGGGGATGGCTTGAACAGATTCCTGGTCATGATCCCTAACCCTTTGGGCTTGCCATTGAACCCTCTACCCCCTGCTTAGAGAAGCTGAAAGCCAGGTTCAAGGTTTCTGTGGCTTGTTTCCCGTACCAGTTGGTGCACTGGCCTGAAGAGCAATCAATGCCAATCATACTTGAGACCAGTCTGTACTGGGGCAGATGGACAGGAAAAAGTAAGGAGGGTGACTTGGGCAAGGAAAATCATTTGAGCAAAGCAGGGGAAGTGAAAGTAAATGGACCATGGACAGGGGGTGGCTGGCTTCATGAGGAGTGGGAAGGAAGGGCCTGGAATCCAGGCTCCTACCCCACTTCATGCAGCAAGCACTAAGGCAGGAAGCTGAGAGTTTCTAAACTGGGGGTGTTTGGCTGGGACCTGAAATTTGGAAGGTGAGTTCAAGGCCATGGGAGCATCAGAGGAGGAAAGACTCAGGCAAGGGCAGGAAAAGTTGGCAAAGACTCTGGGAGAGACAGAAGGGGTTTTGGTTGGTAGGGGTTCTATGGCCCATGAGCAATTGATTGTCCTCTGTGGTCAGCTGTAGGAAGTTCTGTTTCTGAAACAAACATTAAAAAAACCCAAACATCTCATCTGGACCAGGCATAGGGAGGCTGAAGCTTTTTGTCTGTCCCTGAGTGCAAATGACTGTCACTGGGCCTAGAAATTACCACTTCCTCCTGAAAGCCTCCCCTGACTTCCTAATGGATAAGATTGCCTAGAGTCATTTTCTGTCATGGAGGGAGACTTGTCCCCCTTAGCCTCATCCTGGTTCTCAGAGTTTTGTCAACACTTCTCTTATTTAGTTGACCCAAACCTGCAAGCCCAGAGAAGGCAGGGAAGGTACATGTGGCCCCTGCCCTTGGGGGATCCCGAACTAGTTTAGGAAACCAGCCTCAGGCATTGAAAACAGCTAGCGAGCAAGAGGAGAGTGACCCTGAGGGAGGTAACCATGTATGTCTTTAAAGAATTATAGAGCATGAGCTTTGGTAGGTCCACACACTGGACACTGATGCTGGAACCTCTCCCAGGCCTGCTAGGCCACCATGAGGACCAAGAGCCTGAGGCTCAAAGCCTGACTGTTGCTTCCAGGAAAGCCTCATGCTTCCCTTCTCCCTTGTATTTGAGGTTTCCCTTTCTCTGCTTCCTCACTTCCCCAGGGCGTGGTCTAGGGGCTTGGTCCCCACCTTGACTCTGAGGCTGGTGGGCTGTACAGACTGCTTTCCAAACCAGCCATTGTGTGACCATTTGTGCTTAGACTTGTGCCAGCCCATGGCAAAAACGCTGTGTACTGCATTTATTTATTCTGTTAGTTGAAGAAACAAGACTCAAACTACCCTCTTTTCCCTGCCCTGCTCTCCGTGTAGTGCAGCATGACACTCTGTCCAGTGTATCTGTCTGTCTGTTGGTCTTACTTCCTGTGCTGTTGTGATCTGTTCTTTGTCCTACTTGGCTAATAAAAAGAGAACCTGGCAGCATAGCCCTTGATCCATGTTCATTCCTAGAGATATCTGGAAGTGGACTGAGCAGCAGATGTCTCAAAGTCTGTTTAGTGCCTTTCCACCACCACTGAGGGCAATGAATATGAGGCAGGTCTACCCGTGACCTTGGCCACTCCCAGGCTGCCTTGTAGCTGTCTCCGTGGCTTTCACCAATCTAGAGCTAGTGTGCTACACTGGAGGGGTAATGGGGGAGCAGAAGATGGGGGAGGGCTCCATCTTCTCTGGGCTATTTGGGGCTCAACCAAGCACGGGTGGCAGGGCAGCCTGGGCAAGAGACACCAGGCATAGGGATACCTGGAGATGTTCATAGGGATACCTGGGATAGTTCTCCAGGATGGAGAGAGGCAAGGGATTCTATGGGAAACCACAAGCAAGAAGAATGACAGGAAGGGACATTTGATCTGTTGCCAGAGTTGCAACAGGCAGCCTACACAGGGAGTGAGCTCATTTTCCTCAGAGGTGAGCAGGCAGGGCTTAAAGAGGGAATTACTGCAATGGTGAGGTGCATGTTTTGTTGGAAGTCTACATGTAGACATGAGAACTTATGCTGTGAGTTCCTGTATGCCTGCTGGCATTTGCGTGTGTTTGGGCTCACGCATAAGCAGGAGAGAGTGGGAGACTGAGACTGTATATATTGGCGATAATTGCAGGAAAAAAATGCGTAACTCAGAAATTCTTGCTGTTCTTCCTGCTGCATTTCAAGAAAAAGAGGCATAGAGGTCTTCACTGTCCTGGCCCCACCTCCCTTCTTGAGTACCATAGTGACTGCACAGGGCCTCTTGCCAAGAGGGGTGGTGCTGCAGGGACCTGGGGCTTGAGAGACCTCTTTGAGGCCTGTCTCTTAGGAGAACCCCAGCAAGCCTGAATAGAATGGAGGGGGCTGTCCGCTGGGCTTTCCAGAGGCGGGGGCCCTCACCTTCTTACTTACCTGGTTGCTGTGACCCCAGGAGCCACATTCCTCTCTCCCCTAGTGGAGCTGAGGATTAGGGCGGGGTACATCTCCCTTCTCCCCCCTCTCTTCCCTGCCTCCCTGGGAGGGGCTGAAGTATCAAATATCAGCCTCAAATCTCCCATTGCTCCCTCAACCTCCCTGAGCTGCCTAGTACCTCCCACATACCTCAACTTTGAGGGACACACCTTCCTTGGCAGAGAAGTACTCTGGTAACACTGCAGTTCAGATCACTCATTCACTCAGTGTTGACTGAGCACCTGCTGTATACCTAGCCCTGTGCTGAGCACTGGGTGCACTGAAACAAGTAAGAAAAATGTGCCCTGATAGTACAATATAGGATGATTTAAGATTCAAAAATAGGGAACTGTGGCAACACAAAAGAGGTCTCTAGTCCAACCTGGAAGGTCAGAAAAGCCCGTTGGGAAGGAAACTTGAGACCTGCGTCCCAGTGGTCAGTGTTCACTAGGAGGGCCAGAGGGAAGGTGTCTTGGGTCAGGCACAGTTCATCCAAGCTGACAGACTGAGCCTCTGAGTCCTGGAAGAGCAAGGGTCCTGTCTGGGTGGCACTAGAGGACAGTAGGGTGGTATCTGTGGATGAGGATGGAAAGGAAAACTGAGGCTGTAGACTCAAGCCCTGGGGCTAGGGCCTAGGGCATTGGAAGCTGTTCCCAGTGGAGGAGTAGGGTGATCAGACTTAGATTTTAGTAACTGTGTCCCCTTTTTTATTGCATAGTAGTTCATGTGAAGGAGCTGGAGGCAGGGAGACCAGAGAGGAAGCTATTTCATGTCCCGGTGAGAGGAGAGTGGCATCAATGTGAACTAGGGAGGACAGAGGAGAGGAAGGCTCAATTGGTGAGAGATTTAGGAGATGAAATCACCATGGTGACTGCAGGATAGCAGGGCTCAGGGGTGCTCTCAGGTATCTGGCTAAGTTACAGGTAGATAGAACTTCTACTCTGCCAGGGCTGGGCTCAGTGTCAAAGCATGCTACTGAGCTCAGGTTGGTTTTGTTTGCTGCATTTGGGGAGGCTTTGATATATACTACGGAAGATGTTGGGTCTATCTCTGCTATTGGTATGGATTTTATCTGACAGATACATAGCACTTTCTCTGTGCCTGGCACCTTATAAATAAGTCACTTAATCTTCATGAAACTCTACGAGGTAGGCATTATTATCATTCCCATTTGACAGATGGAGAAAGAAGGGAAAGGATGGTTAAATAGCTTGCCCAGAACCACAAGCTC